TATAGACTATTGGAAAGCCATATGAATGGAAAGATTAAAGACAGACGGGGACGAGAGTGAGAGTAAGGCCAAGATAATTCCTCCATTTTCGCAGAAAACACACTCACACAGTCCCATTACCCAATTGTCCCAGTCACATAACTTTAAGAAATTGCAAACAAATTAGACATTCAAAGTTCTATAAATAATTCTATAAGTATTAGCAACAAGCAACAAAAAAAAACTTGGAAAAATCTTTAAAGATACCCACCTTCATATCTTAAGTATATAACCATTGACAAAGTTACTGAGTGAGTGAGCGTGAGAGTGGTCGGCATGTATACAGTATTTGAGGGTACATTGAGGGCATGATTATATATATGACAGTGCATTTACTAAGTGAAAATAATTGAACTTGGAGTGAGAGGGAAGAGAGAATACAATAGCAAGTCGCGATCTAACCCCCGGTTATCTTCCTTTGCACACCAAGTGTTTACATTATGTAGACAGATGATATATGATGAAGTATACTACTTTTACGCTTTGAAATTTGAGATGAGAGCATGCAGCGATGTCTTGTTGTGAAGAGAAACAAGCAAACACATACTATTATTGTAGACGAAACGCCGCCGTCTGGCGTACATTTTTTTATACTGGTATCTATTTATGGTGAGTTTATAATTTATTGTTATACAAATCATACAGATTTGCGAAACAATTATAATTAACAACAAGCTACAGGCTACACACCGTACTGGACAAAATATCAACTTTTAAGGGTTTGTCTAGACACACTGAATGGTTATCATTAACCTTTATTGAAACGATATATCTTTTTGTGTATACAATTTAATATGAATACTAATATAATTGTCATCATTTTGACTATCATATGTGCTTATTTCAGGACTGTCGGCTACAGGCTTTACCACCTTAAGAGATACGTTTGCTTCAAAGTTAAGTTACAGTAAATGAACGCCGCATAGGCTAGCGGACGCCGGAAAATATTGATCACGATTTACAATGTGGCGGCCATGGGAATACACAGTTGCAATAACAAATTTTCAAAGACAACGAACGACAAAACGTGTGAAAACTGTCAGATATGTTAATAAATAGTTTGTAGAAGATATTTAAAGATGATGAAAGTGTGGAATCGAACAGGCGAAGAGGATGTATAGTTTCGGTGATAGAACTTGGCTTTTTCGCCGATCAGTTAAAAGAAAGTATGTTTTTAAAGGTAGCCCTGTTAGTTTTTCTCTTAACTGTGAATAAGACAAACCATGTAGTCTTGGTAGCATTGTTATATCCATTGTAAAAACTATCCTTATCAAACATTTGTTTCCACCGAAAAATAACATACACATAAGCTTGCTACTAATTTATTGAAGGGGATACAATATCAAATATAAGCGCTAGATTTATAAGAGTAAATAAATGATACTTTAAAAACTTATTTCTACATTTTTGTAATAGTGTTTTCTATCACTTTTGCAGTTTTTGTGGAATTTTTTGTGACTTAGAATAGACAATTTCTTCAATAGATACATATGTATATTGTTAAATAATTCAGTCTTTAGTTTTCTATGCTGTGTTTTGAGGATTTTGTTTTGCCGTCGGTTTCACCATGGCGTCGTCAGTTTGTCTTCGACTTATGAGTGTTGAATGTTCCTTTGGTATCTCCCGAATCTTTTTTCGATATGGTTAATTAAAAAAAATTTCCATATCAAAAGAATGCGACCCGTCAATAAGATTAGGTGTTTGATCGATTTGCAGAATAAAATATTATCAACAGAAGCATATATAAGAACAGATGCGGCATCTAAGGGTCGGACCACTTTTGTTAGGACTGCCTTTGTAAAATAACAGTATAAATGTACGGAGTGTCTATTCGTCCGGCTAGCCGGACGAATAGTTAAAAATCTCTATACGTCCGTCCATTCGTCTGCGGATGCGCAAATCTTCAATATCAATAAAAGTGTCATGTGACGCGGAAAGTGTCCCGGATGAGGTATCGGATAACAAACGCGCGTATGCGATGGACGTTTTGAGAATCGGAGATCGTGATTTATATTTAACGATGTCATAAAGAAAACAAGAGAAAATGTGATTTATTTATACAAATTTCTATAGGAGTGATTCCAGAACAATAGCGTATACATGTTAACTGTGAGGAATAAGCCTGAAATCAAAGTGAAATTGATGATTTACCCCCATTTACCTTATGGAGGCAAAACGCATTCCGAAAAATACTATATCAAACTTGCTTGGATGCATTATTTTTAAGTTATACTACAACGGAGATCTATGAAAATGCACTGATATGCCTGGACTGGGAATATGACACCAGGGTTGGGGTATCCCCCATTTTTTTCTGTTGTATCTAATATTCATTTTTTTTTAAATTCTATCGAAAACCCAATCCTACTTTTGGGGACATGTTACACGTGCCTACCCTTTTCTCTAATTTCCTATGAATTAAAAATCGCCGAACAATTCAAATGAAGAATCGTGCATAATCATTTCAGGACCTTAATTAAATCAAACTACACAGAAACAATAAATTCAGGATCTTTTGGAATCATAGATGTCTAATGAAGCCAATAATCATTGGCCCGACTATTTACCTTACAGGAAATTCATAGGCAGAACAACAAAAGAGAGAATCATTTTTGCCCCCCCCCCCCCCCATCCCCAAATTCCTTTAGAATAAAAAAATCTGAATCAAAGCGGGTATAGTTTATTTTTTTATTTGAATGAGTTTTTTTTCATAAAACGATGTTGGACAATATATTTTAAAACTACTCATGCATTATCTATCTCCTTCAAAACACGATGTTATATCTTCAGCATTATATTTTGGCCGGACAAATAGCGAAAAACCGTAAAAATGCTATTTGTCCGGCTTGCCGGATGAATAGACATTTTTGACTATTGGTCCGGCTAGCCGGACGAATAGCCACTGCCATAAATGTAAATACATAAAAAGCAAACAACACGAGAAAAAACAAAATGAAAAAAAAAACAAATAAAAAGACGACACCAGCAAACGAATATCCTGGTTGCAACATAAATTCAGTAACTATCTACTTATTTGCATACTTTTCGTTCTTATAAATCCAAAGACTGAGGAGGATATTAGCAAGATAAGCTAAACATATAGATTCATACTAGAATGTTTATTTTCCAGATTTACTTGTTTATGCAGGTATACCTTGCAAAAAATTTATAGAACAAGAATGTGTCCATAGTACACGGATGCCCCACTCGCACTATCATTTTTCTATGTTCAGTGGACCGTGAAATTGGCATCAAAACTCTAGTTTGGCATTATTAAATTAATTAAAATCATATCATAGGGAACATGTGTAATAAGTTTCAAGTTGATTGGACTTCAACTTCATCAAAAGCTATATTGACCAAAAACTTTAACCTGAAGCGGGACAGAAGGACGGACGAACGGACGCACTGACCGAAAAACATAATGTCCCTCTACTATTGTAGGCGGGGCATAAAAAGAAAGAGAGAAAATCAAATGAAACAAAAGAAAATGAAAAAATGAAAACAACACGTTACCATGCGTCCAAATCCCTTTTCTGGATTTACCTTCATCAGGAACGTTCGAAGCCGAATATTTGAAAGCCAAGGATGTATAAGAACCTGAACAATTGAAGAGCTATATAACCAAAAGGACCTAAAAATATAGCCAAATCCATCCAAGGTCAACTTTGCCTGAGAGAGTTTAAATCTTAGTTTCTTTCCAATGGTATAGATTGAAGCATTCAATTGTTTTAAATATTTTTTGAATTTAAAATAAAGGATATAAAGGGAGAACAGAAATCGCTAAAAATATCACAGTTTATAACAGACTTTTTAGTATTATGGAAAATGATCAGTCAAAATGTGTTTTATAAGGATCACCAGTCCTTCACATTTCATTTGATACCTAAATTACCGAAATATATTCTATATAGTATGATATTTACAACTATGCGTAGGAACCAGTTTGTTTTAAATATGTACTACTGTCCAGTATGTTCTTTTTGACCGGGCCCGATTTGGTGGTATCACATCTTACAAAGTCCATCCTAGTTATTTTTGCAAAGAACTCCGCTCAAGCCGGTGCTATAGCGTCCGTCTTAAACTTAAAGTGAGGTGAGAGTATTTTTTGCTCCGTGTTAATGAAGGCGTCATTATGACTTTGAGATGAAAAACAGCAATAACAGCGCCGTTCCTTTGCTTTTTGTGTGTTTTTAATGTGCATGTTCTGATTTTGTGTCATGGATGGATACCCCATATCCTATGTTTTTCTGCCTCATCTACGATAGTAGAGGGGCATTATGTTTTTCAGTCTGTTCGTCCGTTTGTCCGTTCGTTCGTCCGTCCGTCCGTCCGTTCATCCCGCTTCAAGTTAAAGTTTTTGGTCAAGGTAGTTTTTGATGAAGTTGAAGTCCAATCAACTTGAAACTTAGTACACATGTTCCATATGATATGATCTTTCTAATTTTAATGCCAAATTAGAGTGTTGACCCCAATTTCACGGTCCATTGAACATACTGGGGCATCCGTGTACTATGGACACATTCTTGTTCTATAATATCATCCCCAACACAAGACTCCCCATGCAGGTACAAGTCAAACAACAACGAACATCAAACACGGTTAAATAACCTTGCTACTACAGGAAGCTCGAGATGTTAGTTTGATACTAAGGTTTGGGGATAAAAAAAAAAGCCACCCTAACAGGTTTCCTGAAGACCTGTAATAAATGATTGGCAGTATGTGAATTTGTACTGAATTAGTGAGTCGGTAGCCCATTGCTTTTGAAATAATTAATTGTAAATTCTCTTTTGAACTGTTTATCAATAATAATTTTCCACCAATGCACCAGCTATGCTTTATATCAATAAATAATAAAAATATAATTCTTTTTCAAAACGGGTTTTCTAAAATATATTGATTTAACCTTTTCTACCTGAGTAAATCTTGAAGTCATTATTTTATTTTTAAATATCTAAATATCACCTTTTATTTGTGAAGAAATTATTTTTTATCCGGGTTTGAGTTGTCTTCCTGCTTTGCGACCATCTCCCCTACTTCCCTATTGTAAACGATACTGGTGCGTGATGAGGCTGTATCTTATGACGATACTTGGTCAATATGCAGGTAAGCCTCAATGTTGAGATTAGTCTAATGATCACAAAACAAATGTATGCAAATATATACTCCTTATAGATACCACCTTAAGTTAACTTGCCACTGAATGAGTTGGTAACATGATGAGAGTTGGAATTAATTATTGTTGTACACCCAGTAGCAAATATTTGAAGCTTGTACCAGACTGCTTACTTAAATACTGAGTTTATATAACACATGTATTATGTGATACAGGAAGTTCTTTATATAAAGAAAAGATAATTCATCTACAAAAATATATTAGTATAAATTGTGCGGTTACGCTTGGAATGGAATCTGTATCAGTACACACAGAAATGGGAATTTGATATGTATCTTCTCCACAAGGCTAAAGTAAAATCCAAATGTTTTTTGTTTGATTATTATCTATATGTGTTTTGTAAGTTTTTTCAAAATGTCTACAGAAGAAAATCATCCAACACTATAACATCTTTCAAATACTCGAAGTAAATTGTTTTTTTAAATGTATGTCACTACCGCCAGTTTCGAACCTGTACCTCTTTGAGCATACCAAATTTACAAAAATAAGGTTTACAAACAATGTATTTATCATGTTGCTGTGTTCCATTCTACGGAAGTTTAGCTCTATTCAATGGAGTAATAATTCGTCTGTTTGTTGCTGTTTACTTTCTTGTTTTTTGTTTTGTTTTTAGTAAAAATAAGAAGATGTGATATGATTGCCAATGAGACAACTGTCTAACAGAAGTCAAATGACGAAGATATAAGCAGATATAAGCAACTATCGGCCTTTAACAATGAGTAAAACCGTAAGCTATAAAATGCCCCGACATTACAAAAAGGTAAAACAATTTAAACGAGAAAACCAACGACATTTTTTATGTACAAAACATAGCTATGCGTTCAATACTCATTTTTACAGTAAAAAACAATTTAATAGCAAAATCAGTACACTGATTTTTAATCAATGCCTGAAATATACTAAGAACTGTGAAAATAACTCAATAGGTATCCCTGTACAGTTATAAACACTAAAGGTCCTACATCATGTCAATACTTATCTTTTGGTATTGCACAAGGGCATGTACTTTTCTGACTATTAATGACGTCTTGACAATAAATCCATTTGATGTTGGATGTGCATTGATTGATATTCAAGTCTAAGGTACATGATTTTTATAAGCCCGTTTATGATATACCTTTGTCCGTCCGTCTGCCCGTCCGTCGTCAACATGTCGGACAATAACTCAAAAATGCTTTAACCAATTTTTATGAAACTTTGGTGAATTGTTTATTTCTATCAAAATAAGCTCCCTTTAGTGTCTTTTAAAATTTCTGATATGACGTTGAGGAGTTATGGAACTTTACTCGTTGAAAAGGCGACGGGCGTATCATGCACTCATGGCGCAGCTCATTATTATTTTATTAGTTGTTATTGGCTTTATTATCTTTCAATACATGCGAATACTCTCAGATCTGTACTTTGTGTCTTAAGTGTTTTTGTTACCGGTAATTGTGTTGTGCTTTGTTCCGATTTGACGAGACAAGCCATTTTCAACTGATGTTTATAGTTTGTTCTTTTTTTGTGCTGAACATAACGACACATTCCAAGGTTAGGGGGAGGATAGGGGGCCCGCAAGGTTTAACCCTACCACATTATGTATGGGCTTGTCCAAAACCAGGAGTCTGAAAATCAGTGGTTGTCGGTTGTTGTTGTATATCATATTTGTAATTCGTTTATTATTTTGTACATAAATCAGGCCGTTAGTTTTCTCATTTGAATTGTTTTACATTGAAAATTTTGTCATTTCGGGTTCTTTTATAGCTTTTATATCTTTACTAGTATTGGTTTTGCTCATTTTAAAAGGACGTACAGTGACCTATAGTTGCTAACTTCTACGTTATTTGGTCTCAGGTGGAGAGTTTTCCAAAATCCTTGTATACAAATCCTTGGTAATATAATCGTTCAATATTGTTATAAAGACCAGAAGAGCCAATCAAGTTAGTAAGTAAGATATGCGTAGCGCTCCAGGTCCTCCAACATTTTACAGAAACAAAATTCTATCTGCACTGCCGGTCACACTGTGTTTGTTGTCTCCCTTTTCATATCTTTGTATTGTTAGTTTATTATTGTTCCCCGATAACAAAAATGATAATTTGAACTTTGGTGGATAGTTATCTCATTGTCAATCATACCATATCTCCTTATTTTCATAATAATCATTTGAACACTGTAGTTATACTTGTAACCACTCTGCTCCTTTAGGGCATCATAATATTGTTTTGTATTGTACTGAGCTCCCCTCCCTGAAACAAGGACAAAAAACAAATAAAAACAATACAAACAAAACACGAATGGTCGGTGCCTTATCAAAAAAAAAAAGAAAATTGAAATTTGGTAAATGTTGCATTAGTGTGTAACTGAAAGATTAATTTATGCATTGCCATTTCTTTACGTTCAATGTTAAAAAAAATGAAACCAACACTTAATATATTTCCTGTGTCCGAACCACTTTTAGTAAGGATTTAGTTTAAACAGTAGTTATTATTGAAAATTATAACATTGTCGATATAATAGTATAATTTATATAGTAGTCAAATATGGAATTCGGAAACAAGTTTGAACCACTTTTTAAAAATCCGTCTCCCGAGTTACCTTCATTAGAAACGCTCAAAGCCGATTATTTGAAAGCCAAGGATGCCGGTACAAAAACCGAAACAGCTGAAGAGCTATATACCCACGTCCTTTCTGTTCTATTATTTGATCAAAAAGAGTTTTAAAATAATAGCCAAATCCATTTAAGGTCAATTTTGACAATAAACATTGACACATAGAGGACAATACACAATCATTACAAATCAAAATCAACGAGTTTATCTGATAAACACTGTATTATACTTCATGTCAAAATGCCAGATTTTGATTGGTTAATACGAAGGAGACAATTTACTCTATCCTATGATAAATACTCTATTACCCTTCACGGAGACGCTTGATGCCACAGCTGTCTTATGTGGAACTCTGATATTACTTTATGTTGTTTTATTATTACTTGATGATATTTTGTCTTTACTTGATATGGTTTTGACATTACATAATGATGTTTTGATATAACTCAATATGGAATAGTCATTACTTAATGATATTTCGATATTACACGATATGGTTTCGTATTGACTTGATATAGTTTTGTCATTACTCAATATGGTTGTGTCATTACTCGATGTGGTTTCACCATTATTTAATGTGGTTGTGTCATTAGTCAATGTGATTTTAACATTACTTGATGTGAATGTGACTTAACGTTACGTAGTTGTTTCATTACATAATGTGGCTTTGTTATTTCGTAATGATGATTTGCCTATTCTTTATATGGTTTTAACATTACGCAATGATGTTTCAAAATTTGACGATTTTACACTACATGATGTGTTTGTTTCATTATTTGATGTGGTCCTGTCATTCTTTGGTGTGGTTATTCCATTACTTGATGAGGTAAAACCACGTGACCAATTCGGAAAAAAATATGTTCTATTTTTAAACAGATTTCAATATATCGTTTGTTTAATGTGCTGTATCGCTATCCATTGAGTTAAAGTTCATATTAAAGTTCGAGTGGTTGTTCAGAGTAATTTGGTATTAAAATGGGGAACGGCAGACAATAATAAGAAAAAAAGTATTCAAAAGTTTACAGTATTTCGGACATAATTGGGATATCCCCAAACCACTTGGTCCTGTTGTTTTTATCCTAATAAATTTGTAAAATATTCCACGGAACCATGTGTCTCGCCTGATATTGCTGCTGTAAGTGTAAAAGCTTCATGTTGATCGGCTGTACATTTATCTATACATTTATCGGTAAAAACAAAATTAAAAAAAACAATTTTTTTCTGTAGATGCTTTTTCTTGAAATTGAGGAATAACTCCTATACAAGTTTTAAAACACTTCATGGAGGTTTACAAATTTATCATGTCAAAACAGTTTAATTCGGTTTTATTTAACTAAAACAAAACTGTATGGTTTTCAACAATGAGCAAAACCCATACCCTATAGTAAGCTATAAAAGGTCCCGAAATGAAAAATGTAACTAGAAACCTAACGATCTATAGATAGATACATAGATACTTTATTCTCTAAAAACTAAATACAAGTTTACAGAGAAACATACAATATAAATACAGATACAATAGTCGAGGTAAACAAATACAGTATGATATTCTAAAAGTACAAATTTATGATGGCATACATGTTTAGTAACATGTATAATGAAAGGTTAAACTCAATAGAAATTAAAAAAATGGAGATGGAGACGCCGACGCCACTATCGACGACGAAATATAGGTTTGTTGTGTTTCACTGCCGCTACATTGATGTCGCAGGCTCGACACAAATCAACAGACTTGAACTTTATTGTTAACAAATGAAACACTTCAAATCAACTCACACTAAAGTGATGGGGGCTCGGACTAAGCGACAAAGCATCAATACTATAAAATAGAATTCTCCGAATTTTTTTTTAGCGTAAATGATCATTTGAACTTATACGAATATCAATCTTTTATTTGTAATCAATTGAATTCCCTGATCTACCTCGCACTAATTGAAAAATAAACTTTTTGGAATATCTGTTTCACATGTGACGACGGACATGTTCCAGTGGTCGTAACCATAATACCGTCATCTTTTCCTTGAATGTAAACTACCAAATAAAACTAAATCACTGGGTTTGTACTTTCTCGAATAACACGACGGGTGCCTTTCTGACGCATCCGAGATCACCCCGATGGATTTATATTACCCAGTCATACCGATCTATTGAATCAGCCAAATGAAACTGTTTTGTATGCCACCGCAACTGAAAGTTGGGGGCATATTGTTTTACCCCCGTCCGTCCGTCCGTCCGTCGGTCCGTCTGTCCGTCCCATTATGGGTATATAGTTATTCCGCATAACTCCTCCTACAGTTTGAATACTAGGAAGTTTTCTCTTTACTGGCTTTTTGTACATATATTGAAGGTGTGCATGTGGTCAGGGTTTAATGTTTACTAATATTTGCTTTTTTGGGAGATAGTTGAACTTTGTAATTTTTTGGGAGATAATTGAACTTTTTTTTGTCATTTTTGGGGTATAAGCGGTTAAATGAGTTGAGTGCAGGGGCATCACGTTGTCTAGGTTACATTTTTTTCTCGTGTTGTGCTGTTACACAACTGTAACAGTCCGATGTAAGGTTAGGATTTAGCGCTCACATACATGTTAAACTCGGCCACGTGCACTTTCTTTATGTACCTGCCCCAATTCAGGAGCATGAAGTTCAATTGTTGTCGTTGTATAAATGTGTGTCATTTTTTTTTTTTTTTTTGTAGATTCTTTATTTATAAATAAGACCGTTTGTTTTTTCGTTTGATTTTTTCACATGGTGCATGGTGGCCTTTTGTAGCTGACTATACGGTGTGTTGAAGGCTGTACGGTTGCCTATATATGATTTCTTACATCCACTGCATTTAAACTCTGGTGGATAGTTGTCTCATTGTCAATCACACCACATCTAGCTTTATTTCAACTTCTATGTTGCGTTTTGTATACTGTAACATTGTTTATCTTTTGTACGCATACCCCGGCCGGAGCCCTCTTTTCGGAAGCCCGAGCAAAAGTCCTTGTTCCGCGATAGAAAATTTAATTACGAACTCATATAAGATAGCTCGAATTTCAACTCATAATCTTAATTAATCTAAATGAGACTTAAATTCGAATCTTACTCAAACTCTACCTCAAAAAGTGACTCAAAGTCATTGTTGTAACTAGAACTCTACCTTTAAATGTGACTCAAACTCGAAGTCCAACTCGAAACTCAATGGTAACTAAAACTTTAATTCTAATAATAACTTGAATTCGAAATCGAAGACTAACTCAAAGTTTAACTCAAACAGTAACCCAAACTCTAATTCGATGGATGGCCACACTCATCCAAGGCACATACAACATGGAAATCTATCTAAAAATAGAACAGGGTTTTCCGAATTGGTCACGTGATTTTACCTCATCAAGTAATGGGATAACCACACCAAAGAATGACAGGATCACATCAAATAATGAAACAAACACATCATGTAGTGTAAAATCTTCAAATTTTGAAACATCATTACGTAATGTAAAAACCATATAAAGAATAGGCAAATCATCATTACAAAATAACAAAACCACATCATGTAATGAAACAACTACATAACGTTAAGTCACATTCACATCAAGTAATGTTAAAACCACATTGACTAATGACACAACCACATTAAATAATGGCGAAACCACATCGAGTAATGACAAAACCATATTGAGTAATGACAAAACTATATCAAGTCATTACGAAACCATATCGTGTAATATTGAAATATCATTAAGTAATGACTATTCCATATTGAGTTATATCAAAACATCATTACGTAATGTCAAAACCATATTAAGTAAAGACAAAATATCATCAAGTAATAATAAAACAACATAAAGTAGTATCAAAGTTCCACATAAGACAGCTGTGGCGTTCCATAAAAAGACGTCGTAGTTTATTACTTTGAATTTGAAATTTAAGGTAGATTCACTGTATACCGCCATCTTGGATTGTACAATAGCAGTACACAATCGGTCTAGTTTTTTGCCTAAATCTGCAAATTTTGAGACAGATTTGCAATTTATGTGTAAGACTGTTTATTTGTATAAAGAAAAATAAGTGATTTATTGCTTTATCTAAAATGTTTGAATAAATACCAATATTTGTGTTTATTAGAATCAATTTTTTTATTTGGCCGTTTAAGGGGAGATAACTCTTATAGTAAAATTTTTATACTGGAATGATAATGAAATTTTCATTTTTTTGCCTGTAGCAAGAAAACAAGTTCAGTGACACCATTTTTTCTTTTTATTTTCTTAAAGCACATTAAAAAAACCTATTTTCTCATAATTTATTTCAAAAATCTATCTCAAATGTGTTTTTTATGAACAATCTATGCAAATTTGGGCACTTTTTCACGACTTGTAGCTTGAAAAATAGCACGGTGACCCATACTTTTTATTATTTTTTTTAAAAATCATAGTAAAATCTTCGTTTGGCAAAGTATAAGAAAATTCTATCTGAGGAAATATATACCGATAATCCACCTTAATAGACAGTAATAACAGAACATTCAGTATAATAAATCAAATAACACATATCTGAGAGGGTGATAGAGCAGATTGTTACCCATCGAAAAGACATTGTCAACCTTGACTTCGCCTCAGTTGAAAATGTTTTCTCGGGGTAAAATGTGCTCTATCACCCTCTCAGCTATGTGTTATTTATATAATATTGCACGGTAAATCTATATAATAGTATGTTAAATCAATATTGCTATAATTTCAATCTATTCCTCTTCACTCGTAACTCTTTCAGAATCAGCTCGCTTAAAATATTCACTCATGTTGTTATAATTTTGTTCTTTTCATTGAAGTTGGCAATGGACAAACTTTGACAGTCGTAATTTTGATCTGACCCGATTCAATCTCATTTCTTTAAATTAACCGTACCTTGTAAAGTTCCATTAATTTCTGCTAAATTTATGATTAAAAGTTACTGTAGAATTTTTCTAACCATCAGAGTATTTGAGGTATAACATAAAATTTGTGAAGGGCTGCTGTTGTAAAATCATGTGTAAGTTTTTCGAATTTAATGTTTTCTTCATTAACTTTCTGCTGGTATACTTATATTGATAGCACATTGTTTGATAAAACTGTTCGTGACTATGATGCGTGATAGTTATGTTAGTTCCAAATCCGGAAGATCGTCATTTGAATAGTTGTTTTTGTTTGTATTGCATGTTACAATAACGCATTTGTTTTTTTTTTCTTCTGTAAAACTTGTGTAAACGGCGGATCTTTAATAATTCTTATGCTCTTTAAAATATATTCACAACTTGTCCAGATTCCGGAACAATTTAGAGCTAGGAGTATGTTATACACATGTCTGATGTCCTGTCACAAAGCTGACCTTAGATGGATTTGGCCATTATTTTTATGTCCTTTTTGGTCATAAAGCTCTTCGACTGTTTCGGTTCTTTACATCATTGGATTAAATGAACGGCTTTGAGCGTTCCTGATGAAGGTAAATCCAGAAAACCATTTTGGTCATAAAGCTCTTCAACAGTTTCGATGCTTTACAACCTTTGCTTTCAAATGTTTGGCTCTGAGCTTTCCTAATGAAGGTAAATCCAGGAAAGCGCTTCGCACGCATGCAATTGTGTTGTTTTCATTTGTTTTTGTCTTGTTATTGTGTGTTTGGTTTTTGTGTCATCTGCATTTATTCAGATAGAGACACTTGTTCATTGCTGATGACTGCACGTTGACCTCTAGATGACATTCCATTTTATTACGCGTTTGTTTGGGTTTTCGTTTTGTCTATTCGAACCATCTGTTTACGCAGAAAAAAAAAGTTATTTTGACTTTTCCCTCTCGGCGGTGAGGATGAGAGGCGTCAGCTTTGCAGGGCTTGATGAACAATTAATGAGCAGTTTTTGGATCACACGACAAATGTTTCGGAAATGTTGCACGTGCTGGGTGTTGGAAGAGCTCACTGAATAAACGGATCCTTTATCCTGTAAATCTCCACACTCGTGTTTGTGAAACTGCTAAGATTGAACACTTATTTCTTTGTTCATATGAAATATTGATTTAGCATTTAATCTATCAGATACCTTTAGGATAAAACGATTGGAAAGTCAGATTCTATTCAGAATTAACAAATGCATGAAAAATGGGACCATTGGCGAACAATTGCGGTAAAAAAAACCTTTTCGATTAAATCATAGCAGATAAAAAATATTGGCGTATGATGAACGGGTAATAACCAACGAAACTAAAGGCATATATATAAGCTTAATTACGAACATTGGGTAACATTAAAATTATCCCCCTGATTAATTTGCTGAATTTTCATACAATTTAACTATAATGTATTACTCTTGATCTGAACCACGGTTAGCAAATTTAAACAAAGTCGTTTTAAATACAGAAAGTAGATGACTGAAATCTAACATTAATTGCGTTGTTTTGCAAACAGGATTTTGAAAGGGGGCACCAGCAAGGCAACGTTCGGAAAGGAACTTGTTTATACATTCATCATACATGTAGCTCCATTAAGAGGGGGTGGTTGCCCCCTAAATCCTCCTCTGTTTGTTTTGTTTATTTGTATTTAAAGACTTGAAGGCATGATTTTGTGTATTACTAGTAATAAAACTAACGTCTATCAATCTTTAGGAATATTGACAAACGCCTTAACAACAAGAATGGATACTTCTACTGAAACACCAATGGCAACTTTTACGACTACTGCATCTACAGATCCATCAACGGCGTCAGCAATTACCACGTCTCCACACTCGACATTTAGCACTACGGATGCTACATCTTATACGACCACTACATCTACCGATCTATCAACGGCTGCAACAATTACAACGTCTTCACACTCGACATTTAGCACCACGGATGCTACAACTTATACGCCCACTACATCTTCTGATTCATCAACGGCGTCAGCAATTACAACGACTCCGCATTCGACATTTAGCACATCGGAAGCTACAACTTATACGACCACTTCATCTACAGATCCATTAACGGCGTCAGCAATTACAATGTCTCCACACTCGACATTTAGCACCACGGATGCTACAACTTTTACGATCACTACATCTACTGATCCATCAACAGCGTCAGCATTTTCAACGACTCCGCATTCGACATTTAGCACCACGGAAACTACTAAAACATCGAGAGAGTCATCACCAATGTTAGCTGATAGTAAAACAACTGAAATAATATCAACAGCAATGGAGACAAGAACGATGAAAATATCTAGTTCGACACCAGAAAGCACAATGTTAACAGAAACAACAATGGAACCGAATAAAACGGGCAGTCCCACTGTAACAGAAAAAACGAACACATCGAATGACGGTAATATAGTACTAGTGTCCCTTTAATAAATTTAGAAATATAGATATGATTTGTAATGTGGAGGAACAGTTAAGGCGAAGTATCCGCAATTGGGCGGTATTTCAGATGTGTTTTTTTTATATTTGAATCAATTTAGATTTCGCTAAATTGCATCGAAATGATAAAAAAAAAAGATAAATGCATATAATTTTTGTTTATAATCAGATGCAGTACCGGTAACGAGTTCTAAATGTAAACAAGATATAAATTTTAAATCTGAAAAAAACCACAATATTATAACGTATATTTTGCTTCAACCAACAAATTGTTGAAATGAACGTGAAGTACCTATTACAATGTAGCCGACACGTACTCGAGGAAAGTTTTGAACGAGAAAATAAGAATCTTTAAAGAGCTACCAAACACATATGGGTCTACACAAAACAGACAAAATTCAGCAAGACAGATATTTCCTGGAAGAGTTGCATTCTTAATCAAAATGAATTTCATTTAACCATAGACAAACAATACAATTACTACATTAAAGGACCATTGTATCATTATGTCTTTGATATAATTTATAATTTGAACATATGCTGTAAGAATTTATCATTTATAATCATGTAATGACAAAAACGCTCGTCAGCTAATGCATACGGTGCACTTTAAAGTCACGAGCATTTCAGTTCCCCAGCAGCTGTACAGACTTCACATTTAAAAGAAAATATAATTCAAAAGGAGATACATGCCTGTCCGTTGCTCAGAAAGGTCTATACAGCAAACCCCAAGTCGGTAACCTAAACACATTGTCATCAAGAACAGAGAAAAATAAATAATCAATAACATGTTTTATATTGAACATTTGTAGAGCATTTGTAGAACATTTGTAGAACACATATTCGAAGAATGGCAGTTTAAAATATTGGCTTCTAACACTTTAACCTTAATATGTTGTAAACACGCTGGATTTGTCATACCATATGCATTCGAAAGATTTGCCAAGACCCCATTATTTCTCAATATTTTCTTCAAATCTTAATTCTCAAATTTTGGTAAAAGCTCTAAAAATTCTTGTTATATCAAATTTTTTTTAGTGCAGTCTAATATTCATTTCTTCTCATATTTTATATTTTTAATGAAAAAATCCAGAGACTTCGATTTTTTCACAAAGTTTTAAGATGTTTCGAAAACAAGCAAATAAGCCAGTACAGTTATTGCAACATAATTTATGTGTAATACATCATTTATTGTATATGGTAGGGTCTGAGTGATGAAGCAAAAATGTACCACTTGCCTAATAAGAAATGCTTTGTCTAACACAAATTTGGACATGCCTGTTTCGTAACCGCTCATCATAAATGACATAACTTCAAAGAATTACTTTCGATCGACCTAAATAATCTCGTCTCATATGGATATTCCCTTGATTAATGATAATACATAATACGTTTTATAAATTATACTTCATGATTTAGTTTACTTACAAACTATTTACCTGAGAAAAAAACAGTGCAGAGAAAAAATTCGATTCCAACTGAGATCATTTTTAGAACCAAGTTGATAGGCAAATATCTAATATTTTTTGTTGTACGTGTGTGTGTGTGTTGAATTAATTCTGGTTAATTATCAATTCATTACAGTGATAATAGCTGTGGTTGTTGCTGTGTTACTTATAGTGCTGCTGATTGCAACGATTGGTGGTTTTCTTCTATTTAGGTAAGCATTGCTTTGAATGGGAAGAGACCCATATATATAGATAAGAAGATATGGTATGAGTGCCAATGAGACAACTATCCATCCAAGTCACAATGTGTAAAAAGTAAACAATTATAGGTCAAAGTACGGCCTTTAACACGGAGCCTTGGCTCACACCGAACAGCAGGCTATAAAGGGCCCCCAAAAGACTAGTGTAAAACAATTCAAACAGGAAAACCAACGGTCTAATCTATATAAAACACGAGAAACGAGAAACACTTATGAACCACACCAACAAACGACAACCACTGAACAACAGGCTCCTGACTTAGGACAGGTGCATAAAAATGCAGCGGGTTTAAACGTTTTAACAGGCGCCAACCTTCATCCTAACCTGAAACAGTGGTATAACATTACAACATAAAAAGACACAAAATAAAATATCAATTGAAATGGCTTAACTCGATCAAAAAGACAATACACAAAAACAAGTAAATATACACTGAACGAATAAGTTTGATCTATGACACAATATAAATAAAAAAGATGTTTCAATGTCAAATAGACAACTTTAACCTAGGACAAAGTGGCGTTAAATAAAGTAACGTACACAGGTAAATTTAAATATAATAATTTTGTTGATTGGAGTACAGAAACATTTTTTTACAAAATAAATTTGTTATTCATAGTAGGAGTACAGAAGTGATTTTTTTTTCGTCATACTAAATACTTGGTGGTACATATTAAAATAGTAAGACGAGATATAACACAAAATAAGTAAACATTGAATAACAGAAATGCATTACAAGTTGTGTCAACAGGTCAAATTAACACGAAAGTACGATTTGAGAGTACTCGCAATTACTGAAAACTAGTTAAAAGCCAAAAACAATTAATAATAAAAATCATGCATCAGAGACTAAAATGAATTAAAACACATCCCAGGCAGGGATTTAGTGTTTTAACGCCATGGACAGTCAAAGAAGACAGGACTTGTGCAATGCCAAAATAAAAGTAACGACAGACAGACAGTAGGATAGTAAGGATTTAACTTTATAATTAATATGTATGATGTTATGTATAGATAAAACAATTTCTAAATAGAAAATAAAACGTGGATGTGTATATATACATCCCAAAAAACCATTCGAAAAGAAATTTAGTTATGTTTTAATTTGTTGATGACAAAATCGATGTTAGTGCCAATGAAAACAATATTCAAAGATCTTATTACAACATTAATAAGATAACCTTTACTAATAAGTTTGTTTAAATGTTCGATAAGTTTACACGGATCACATAGTGATTTCCGCGCTTTTAGTACAATATTACAGTAAAATTTAGGATGTGAAATACCATTTTTAATAAGATTTCTACAGGTACAGCCACATTTACTAATCAAATCTTTGTATCTATGAAAGAATTTAGTAAATGTTTTAAGTAACTTATGGTAACGAAATCCCTCACTTAATAATTTACTAGTGATACATTGATCACTTTCGTTAAAATCGATGACATCACTACACACACGGGCATAACGAACGAGCTGGGATATATAAACACCGTATGATGGAGCCAAAGGAACATCGCCGTCCAAAAAAGGAAAATTAACAATAGGGAATGAAAAATCGTCTCTTTTGTCGTAAATTTTTGTATGGAGTTTCCCTTTAGAAGTTGAAATGTATAAATCTAGAAAAGTACAACTACTCTGTGCTGTTTATGTTAGATTTATTTAAAGTAAGTTCCGTTGGGTAAATTTCGGTAGTGTATTTAGAGATGTTTAGATTAGATATCAAACGCTAACCACGAAACAAACTATATGTATCGGTTATTTTTCTAGGTTATGATACTTTGTAATTCACGTTGTGTAGGCTGAATAATACTTTTCCCCATGACGGATCTAGGTTTTTGCGCTAGGAGGAACGTGAAAATAAGCCACTGCCAATGGTCCCTAGCAGGTCACTCGGAGGCTCACGACACTTCATTTTCTTTTCAGATCAGCTATTTTTCTTTTTGTATCTATCTCTGTTGTAACCCATGCCAAATTCAAAGTTCATCTACTAATGTGGATGTCTGCCTCTAAATACTACAATATCGGAATAATTTTCACACAGAGCAATTTTCTAAGACTCAATCTTTTTTTTTTGATATATAGTGTCAAAGATTTGAACTAGTAAAGTAACGTTTTGGTGTAATTTGGTGTAACAATTGATCAAATTATCAATGCCTAAAGATGACTCACAACTGCAATTTGCACAATTGTAACAAAATTTGAGTATTCATCCAAAAAATGTACAAGAGGAGCATTTTTATCCAAAACCAAAATTATATGGGAAGTAAAGCTATATATTGCTTTTCGAATTCAAAACAATTATCTTTGGTTAGAGATGTCATTCGGTGCAATATTGTACAAAAACGGATAACATTTGCAATATGCAGTTTAATATTCGAATACCAGTAGACAACCCGCACTTTGGCCCTGCCAACGAAACAAATTAAGGAGCCCTATCTCTTTGGGAATGAGGGTTACCATGGTATGATGTAGGGCGATTGTCCCCCATTTTGTTTCACTCACAGGGTAAAAAGCGGTAAGATGTCAAAGCTTACTGGAATAATTTGAATTTTAAAAAGATTAAATCCCCATATTTAAATAACTTTTTCAGCAACTTTTCATATTTCCATAGAATAAAATTGATCCAGTTTATTCCAAAATTGAAAATTTGCACCAAAGGATATCTTTAACGAAAAGAAATAAATTTGTATTTGAATTTTTGTTTTAATTAACAATGTCTTTCTGAAACATTTTTTTATAAATCTGTAAAATTGTCAATTTGCAGTGAAAGGTTATCTTACAGCATTCATAACTTGTTTATATGTTTAGGAGTATAGGAGGTTAGGAGAACAAATCGCAATCAGAGAAAAATTCGTACTTACAATACAAATATTTCGGACCTAATTACTATTTAATTGTTATTCTAAACTGTTTCCCAAAATTGATCGCCCTGAAGATCATAAAAAAAACATTTCATTAAAATCAAATATGTCAATAAAGGTTTTGATTTTGTAAATATTGCCGGTATTCTTAACGATCATTCCGTAAAAGAACAAATTCCTGGTTATTTTGAAAATACTGAGCTCCCTCTTATTTGTTATGTTACAAAAAATCGACCCGGAGATATGTGTTTAATTATAGCGAGGTGTGTAAAGATGTTTATATCAGAGACAATACACCTACGTCATGAAATTGCAGTAATTCAAAAAACATTTATGACCCCAGTTCCCATGTTATAACAGGAGACCTTAACATTGTCCAGGACCGAGAGTTGAAATAATTTCTTAGTAAAGGACGAAGATATCGTCCTTCGTCAATTATCAATTGGAATTAGTGTCGTAACATCATCAACGACTCACTTACTTACTGTGTGAAATGAATAAAACGAGAAAAAGCTGACAAAAATTCCTTAGATTCTTTTTTTAATTCAGTAATGAATATAGTTGATATTCGTATTAAACATTTCAAAGAACATTTCACTCCTAACAACAACCATAATAGCCATATTTATCGTATCAAACATAAGCTAAAAGAACTCGCTAAGGAATTTGTTTTTGTCCCGGCTGATAAGGCCGCCAATAATATCAGTATTGTTTGACGTAAATTTTATATTGAGGTTCTGCAAAAGGAAATCACGAATTCACCTACATTCCAACTGACTCAATTTTTAGAAAATGACATCTGTAACAAACAAACTTTTAGCTACCTCTTTACAAGCAGAACCGAATAAGATGAAAGTTCCAACTATGTGCTTCCGAAGCTGCACAAAACACCTTACAAATATAGATTTATTTCGTCTTCAAGCCATTGTTCCACAACTAAGCTGTCTATATTCTACTTACTAGTACACTTGGTACAATCAAAAACCTGGTAATAAACTGTTAAAATAATTCCTTTGAAAATATTGGAATTAATAACTTTTGGAGTGTCAAAAATTCGTTGGAAGTACTTGATAAATTGCATGCTCATATTGGTGATTTCGAATCTGTTCAAAGTTTTGATTTTTCTACCCTACATACCACTTTACCCCATATTCTCATTAAGAGAAAATTCACATACCCAATTAAATGGGCATTTCAAAAGTCGGAATGCGAGTATATATGTTCAAACTCTTTTAGATCATTTTTCAGTAACAACAAACAAAAGAACTATGTCAATTGGACCTGCTTTGATACGATAACTGCACTTGAATTTTTACTCGATAACATTTTGTTCGCTGTGGAGAGTCCGTATATCGTCAAGTTATCGGAATTCCAATGAAAGAACATCTGAAACAAAAATTTAATAATACTTTTAGAAATTTGGATGATATATTGGCTCTCAATAATGACGACTTCAGTATGTACACTAAATAGATTTATCCTGCTGAACTGACTTTAAAAATAAAGCTAATACTAACAATGAACACTGCCCTTTCCTGGAAATTGATATCTACATTTTTAACGGAAAGCTTGGCACCATCCTATGGTGTTTATATATCTCAAATTGTTCGATTCGCTCATGTATGTAACAACGTATTTGATTTTAACGAAAGAAATCTCTGTATTACTGAAAAATTATTACACCAGGGTTTTCGATATCACAAACTTGTCAAAACATTTATTAAATTTTATCATCGGTACAAGGACACCATTCGTAAATATAAATCAGAGTGCAGACATCTTATAGTTCAGGTATTCACATCCCATCTTTTATGGTAATATTCTATACAAAGCACAAAATTTCGTCATTCACCTCAAAAGCTAACCAAAACTTTAAACAGACTTATCCAGAAGGCATATGCGTAACGATACTGTTGTCAGGTCATTAAAGATTGCATTTTTTTGGTATTAATATTGATTCACTCATAGGGTCTTTGCATCGGAAATAAACACATTTATTCTAAAACCAGTTGTTGGCATGATACGGGTTATGTTAATCTCGTATATTTTATGATAGTATGATACTGAACCCCTAACAGGAGGGATTTATGCTTGATTTTCATATGATGAATACATAATCTTTCAATCAGTTTAATTGAGGTCTTGAGCTGGCATGTCAGTAACTGCTAGTAGTCCTTTGTTAATTTATGTTGATTATTGTCATTTTACTTAGTTTCTTCTGTTACCTATTCTAACATCGGATTCGGACTTCTTTTGCACTGAATTTTACTGTGCGTATTGCTGTGTGTTTGTTTATTCAACATTGGCTAGAGGTATAGGGGGAGGATTGAGATCTCACAAAACATGTTTAACCCAGCTGCATTTTTGCGCCTGTTCCAAGTCAGGAACCTCTGGCCTTTGTTAGTCTTGTGTGTTTTTTAAATTTGGTTCATTTATATGTTTCGGAGTTTAGTGTGACGTCCATGAGCAGAACTAGTATATATTATAGTTAAGGGGCCAGCTGAAGACCGCCTCCGGGTGCGGGATTTTCTCGGTGTGTTGAAGACCCATTGGTGGTCTTGGGCTGTTTTCTGCTCTTTGGTCGGGTTGTTGTCTTTTTGACGCATTCTCCGTTTCATTCCCAATCTTATTTGATATTGTAAAAATCCCGGAGTAAGCACGAAAGCTTATACACTGTAAATTTAAGTATTAGCAGATTGAAAGACTTTTCCAAATGAGAAATGATTTCAGATATTAAAAGAGTAAGAGTGGGTTTAGGTGTATAACTTTCATTTGTTTATTAAAATAAATCTGCACTGTTAACAAAAAGGGTATTTCAATAATAATATATATATACATGTATATCAATTGGTGTTCAGTTAGGTTTTTATGAATATTCATCACAAACTGGGATTCATAACATTAAAGGAATTAACACAATGTGCAGGAAGAGGGGTACAGTTAATACCCTAGGGAAAACCGATCACTTGGTGGTATACTTTTGCAGAAAAGTTATAACTGAGACATCTTAACGTGAAATTGCTGTAATCATCTAGAAACAGAGGCCAAGCTTTATTCCCAAGTCTATTGAGTGAATAACAAAGATTGTCAAAGAGCTGTAACCGACACCAAATTGTATAAAAGTGATAAACAATGTAACATACGTAAAAATACAACAACTGAAAATGTTCCTAACTTGCGACAGAAACAGGAGCAATTTGCCCCTATATTTAATGATCAATTCTTGTTGATGGGTAAAAGTTTTATTCTATGTGTGTATTTATCTTTCTCGTTTATAGATACTTCAAGAAAAAAAGAGCTGAAAGAAAAAAGAAATTTTCTCATGTTGATTTGTATATAAACACGTCATATGTCGAAGATGAGTTTAATTATGAAAAATTTGTGAACGATGCAATAGGTGATCATGACAATTACGATGACTTAAATCTCAGAACGAGTCCACCCGGAAGTGCAGCTACTGAAATTGAGCAGTTGGATTTTAACCCGAGAAGATCTAATGTTTACGACAATTTAAAAAAAGACAAAGAGACAAATCCATATGCTAATACAGGCACAGTTCAACAGGACACTAATCCGTATGCTAATAGTGACGTTACAAAGGACAGAAATATTCCACGCTCTAAATATCCAATGATGTCATCGTTTAAAGATGATACAGTATAGATAACAAATTTATGCATTGTAGGATTTATTGTCATAAAAATATGGGTATTTTGTAAAAACTTAATCCGTCGAAATGTATATAGTTCGTATTCAGTCCGTAGTGATTATCATGTATTTCATTATTTTAAGAATAAAAGAAGATGCAATCATTTTGCCAGCAGACTTATATGCGACAACCTCCTACTATATTCTAAGTTGTTGCAAAAGTTGTGTGCTTTTGCGATTGAAAGACCAAATATACAGTAATTTTTTGACGACATATATTGATTTACTGAACATCAACTTGATGAATATACAAGTTTTTGCTTACACCGCTTAGCATATACAATCAAGATGCAGATTTCGAAATTACTTGTAATCACAGGACACATTTATCCTTTTTATAATCAGATATAAAATTGAGAATTGAAATGGGGAATGTGTCAAAGAGACAACAACCCGACCAAATAGCAGAAAACAGCCGAAGGCCACCAATGGGTCTTCAACACAGCGAGAAAATCCCGCACCCGGAGGCGGGCTTCAGCTGGCCCCTAAATAAAAATGTGTACTAGTTCAATGAAAGTGGACGTCACACTAAACTCCAAAACATATAAATGAACTAAAATTAAAAACATACAAGATTTACACAGGCGCAAAAATGCGGCGGGGTTTAACATGTTTTGTGAGATCTCAACCCTCCCCTATACTCTAGCCAATATTGAATAAACAAACACACAGCAATACGCACAGTAAAACTCAGTTTAAAAGAAGTCCGAGTCCGATGTCAGAATAGGTAACAAAAGAAACTAAGCAAAATGACAATGAGACATAAATTAACAAAGGACTACTAGCAGTTACTGACATGCCAGCTCCAGCAGACCTCAATTAAACTGATTGAAAGAGTATGTCTTCATCATATGAAAACCAAGCACAATCCCTCCCGTTAGGGGTTTAGTATCATACTATCATAAAATAAACGAGAAGATCATAACCCGTATCATGCCAACAACTGGTTTTATGATAAATGTGTTTATTTCCGATGCAAAGACCCTATGAGTGAATCAATATTAATACCAAAATATGCCATCTTTAATGACCTGACAACAGGTATGTTTATGTTGCAATAAAGTAACGAGAATAAAGGGGAAAAAGTAACCAGCATATGAACTACAAAAGAATTAGAAGCAATTAATTTTAAAAGTTCGGAATATTCCTCATCCCATTCAGGGATATAGGATCGGCGAGGGGGTCTCTTGGGGATCTCGCTGTGTTGAAGACCCATTGGTGGCCTTTGGCTGTTTTTCTGCTCTTTGGTCGGGTTGTTGTCTCTTTGACGCATTCCCCGTTTCCATTCTCAACTTTATTATCATAAGTTCTTATTTACAGAGTTGTCAACAATTTGCTGTAATTTCTCATTTTTTGAACACCTGTATACACACTATGTAGGTAAGTAAGTAAGTAGATGATTTATTATAGTGACATGTGTAGAATAACTAATATTACATATTATCAATACAATAATCCTTTTGAGTTACACCTGATCTTCATATATTTAAAAACTATATGCACATATTTTCAATAAGCAATTGTGAATATTTTCTTGTAAAGAAGGTCTATCCTTTTGAAGATTTTTTTTAAATATTTGACAGTTTGTCTTTGGTATAATATCATCAAATTAACAAATGTTCTATCATCAATATTATTATCCTCTTGCCGACTTGTTCCTTTATTCATACAGGAACTTCTTAGGAAGAATAAAAGGAAGTAAGCAGTGTCCTTTAACTTCACTTTCCGCTATATATAGATGATGTTATCTCCACGGTGGGTAAGGTTGTCCTGCGAGAGAACGTTCTGTGCTGGTGATTCGGTCCTGACTGGTGCTGGTGGGTCCTGATTCTGTGCTGGTGGGTTTGTTTACATTGTACCAGAACGGCAATAAAACAACCGTTCTGTTGCTAAATTTTTCTCTGTACTTCCTAAGTACCATGCGAGGAATATTACAACGATCTTTTATTGAAAAAGTTGTGCAAATTCGCCAAACAAAATTGTCCTGACGATGTGCTGGTGATTAGAAAAATGGTCCTGGTTCTGTGCACCTATGTCCTGGTTCTGTGCCTTTATATTTTAGTTAAAAGTGGCAAATATTCAAGATCATTGATGTAGAAAATTTGTATAATTAATAGAAAATATACCTTGCATGTATTTGGTGGATATTTCATATGAGCTAAGTTAAGTCTGTTTTTTTTTTTATTTGATTTTTGAGAGGGGGTGCAAAATCTTTCTGTTGAGGTGTTTTGGCCTTTTATAAACTTTTGTTAACTGTTATTTTGAAGATATATGTGCTGTTAACTGTTATTTTGAAGATATATGTGCTGTTAACTGTTATTGACTAATTAGCTGTTATCTGTTTTCTTAAAATTGACATTGTTGTGAACTGTTATTATGAAAAAAAAAATACCCCTGTTTACTGGTTTTTGATTTTTGAATTCACTGTTTTCTCATTTAAGATGATTTAAAATGCTGTTATCGGTTTTCAATATTTTAAATTTACTATTATCTGATTTGAGCAAAATAAAAAAATATTGACCTGTTAATTGAACCCCTCTTGCCCCCTTTTGAGATAAGAAAATATGCATACGATTTGCAGGATTACGATCCTTTTGCATGACCATCAAAATACGGTGTGAAATATCCAATACCTATATAAAAAGATTATCTGGTATGTTTGCCAATGGACAAATTTCCATCAGAAACCAAATGCACTAGGTGTAAACAACTATACGTCACCGTACGACCTTCAACAATGACCCGAAAAATCAAAATGTAAAAGGTTTTGCATAAAAATGGAGAGCATAAATATAGAATAAAGGACTTTTTTTCTAATTAAATTGAGAATGGAAGTGGGGAATGTGTCAGAGACAACAACCCGACCAAAGAGCAGAAAACAGCCGACGGACACCAATGGGTCTTCAACACAGCGAGAAAATCCCGCACCCGGAGGCGGGCTTCAGCTGGTCTCTAAATAAAATGTGTACCACTTCAATGAAAATGGACGTCACACTAAACTCCATAGCATATAAATGAACTAAAATTAAAAAAAACATACAAGACTAACAAAGGCAAGAGGCTCCTGACTTGGGACAGGCGCAAAAATGCGGCGGGGTTACACATGCTTTGTGAGATCTCAACCCCCCCCCCCCCCTATATACCTCTAGCCAATGTAGAATAAACAAACACACAGCAATACGCACAGTAAAACTCAGTTTAAAAGAAGTCCGAGTCCGTATCAGAATAGGTAACTAAAGAAACTAAGCAAAATGACAATGATACATTAATTAACAAGGGACTACTAACAGTTACTTCCATGCCAGCTCCAGCAGACCTCAATTAAACTGATTGAAAGATTATGTCTTCATCATATGAAAATGAAGCACAACCTAAGTTGATCACGGCAAACTATCAGGTGAGTCTGAACATTTCATAGATGAGTTTAGATAATACATTCAGTGTAGCCTAAGCATCCTGGATATTGTTTCTCTGACAAATTTGTACGATACTGTAGATACTTTTCTTTTGATTCAACCAAATGAATCTCAGCCTTGTTTCTGCGCGTAAGAATCATGTGTCCTCAGCAGCTAAAATCAGATTTCTTTGTAACAATTTAGTGTTTATTAAAAGGATGACAATAATATTGCGTTTTTTTTTTATTAGAATAAGGAAGAGGGAGGTCACGGTGAAAGTTATTAAGCTTGGAATAGTTTTGAAATTCTAAAATTGTTGATAAAAAATAATTTGATGCAGATGATCAAGAACGATTTTATTACTGCAGTTGATAATTTTACCATTAAAACATTTTCCAAGAGGGGAAGGGGGGTTCCCGTAAGATTTAAAAGTTGTACTTTAAAAGAAAAATGTATCTATTAGCTATTAAGCATCATTTGCTATACCTTTAAGCCTCTGGTCAACATAAAATTATTGTCTGATCGGTTGTCAGGTGGAATTTTCGAAAGTTCAATAAAACATTAAAAAAATATTTAAATATTTCATGGAAGGGCAGACTAGAATTTTTCAGAAAATGAAGACTAGATAACCTAGATAACACACAAAAAAAAAATTTGTTTAAGTTATGCATTTTAAAGATCCAAAAGTAAAGTCTTGTCAAGGAATTTTGATAAAGAATTAAGGGGGAGTAAGTGAACGATGTGTCCTAATTTTCTTTTTACAAATATATTTCCTGAATAAAAATAAAATATGCCTAAATTTTAATTGAAAATGAGTGAAAAATGAGTGAACGAAAAAAAAAAAAACACCAGACTAAGAAGTACACTTTTAGTTAAATATTTGTAATAGCACGAAGCTTTTAATTTTTATGTTTCAAACACACTTTCTCTGTAGTAATGACTCGTTAAAAAGGTATTTCACTTCATCCATTTATTTCATTTTTTGATAAGTACTGTGAATTCTCAGTATTATTATATTAACATGTAGCCTTAATAAAAAGAAAAAATCGAATCTAAAGCCAGATATATCAATCAATATATATTATTTTATACGTTTTCAGGAAAAAACAATCAACGCAAACACGCCTTGAACGTAAAATGTGTACTCGACTGTCTCTTTACGATAAGATAATTGCCCATTTTTAGACCCCCCCCCCCCCCCCCCCCCCAAAAAAAAAGAAACTGTTGCCGGGGGCAGAGATGCAAATTAATGCTTTTTAAGATCAATATTTTATCTTTTCGTGCATGTTTTTTTTTCAGTTGAATTTATGCTTATGCATCTTAAAAACCCAGAAGTATTTGCACCTACCGAAATCGGCTGTTTTTTTAAATGTGCAAAAATTACAATATCTCGTAGCTTCATACTACCAATTGAGTATAAACAAGTATATAAGATGCACAAAATCTTAAATTATACATCTACATTTAACTTTTAAAAGCCATAAAAACATTTTTTTAACAATCCAAATATACAAATTTTGTATTTACAACTGGTTATCAACTCGTTTCGTTCTAAGCTCACCTGTACCAAGGGTCCGTGTGAGCTATTGACTTGGCGTCCGTAATTAAAAAAAATCTATTCTGAAATTGCTTGACCAAATGTTACCAAATGAATTTTCCTGAGTGAATCTAGGAAAAACAATATTCATCAACAAACATGACCACTGTTTGTTAAAATATATTCGTGTTTTTAGTTTATATCGCAAAAGTTCAAGCAGTTAGCATGGTTAGAGCAAAACTTACCGAGTAAAAATATTCAACAGGCCAATGTCTATCTACCTTGCACTTTTCAGAAAATTCAGATCAGATGCCGAAACTTGGTCCAGCAACATTTATCAACAATACAAGATTTTGACACACACAGTTTCCATTCAATACAAATATTCTTGTTGCAATGATTCATTTTAAATGCAAAAATACCAGTTGCAGCCTTTAGTTTGTTTATTTATATATGTGTATAGATTATCGGGTTTTCTACACATTAATATCGTAAAATATCAACCGCGAGCCACAATATGAACCTTTTTGGCGAGTGAGCGCAGCGAACGAGAGAAAAAGCTGCACATTGTGTCGAGCGGCAGATATTTTACGATATCTATACGAAGAAAACCCGATTATCTGTTTACCGTTCTATAACTGATCTTTTCCGCCTCCTTAAGACAGTTTTACGCTTGACGAAAGCAAGCTTGATAACGTCTCCTCTCACATTGTGACGTCGCTGATAACTTCTCCTCAGACATTGTGACGTCGCTGATAATGCCTGCTCTCGTCTCAAAGCCGTGATACGAGAATTACGGAGCGACTGGGCAGGGTGATATAGGCGTAGGGAAGGACGATAAATATGAATATATGAAGGGAAGCAGGGTCACCAGGGTGTGAAATCCATGTCATCTGAAATAAATACTATGCATAGATAGAAATCGACAGATAATAATGACATTTAAAAAAAATATTCTCTTGTATTCGAAGTTTTTGCAGTTTTGTTTTGTATAAACAAATTGACACACAAAATGAATATAGTATTTTATCGATACATTGGTAACACCGGTTACTAGGATAATAATCCTGTCACGTATGAATTGGGTAAAAAAAATGGAAATGTGAAAGTTTACGGGCAGTAGGTGCAACAGGATACCGACAGCTCACATGGCTCGTCAGGGTGGGAGCTAAAAAGTGGATCAAAGTCCATGAAAATTTGATTTTAAACCTTTATTCATTCCAACAAATTATTGAGATTTTGTTGAGGTTTTACCATTTACGGCAACAAGAAAACGTTCAGAATTTAATGCAAAGAAGGTTTAAAGTCTTTCGCCAAAAATACTATCAATTTCTTCTTATCCTATGTTAACCTCCATGCAATCTTCATCACTTTATGATCAATAAATTGAACTGTAAAATACTACTTAGTATCTTCCACATGCCTTTATAATGTCTGATGTATACATATTTATGACAATAACTGTTGTGATCACAAGATTCACTGCACAGTTTTAAAGTTTTGCTAACACAAAAATTCAAAATGTAAACTTAAATTTTGTGAAATTTGTTTGATGTGTACCGATTGAGATTTTAATCTAAGAGAACATGGTTTATCTATTATTTGAACTAGCTTTCAGTAGCTGCGAGTACTCGTGGTTCAATAATTTGTGTCTTTATGTTATTATTTTGTGTGCTAAGTGTTGTGTTGTTACACCACTATGCCAATGAAGGAGGAAAGGAGGACGGGTTGAGTGGGGTGTGGAGCGCAAACAAACATGTTAAGCCATGTCACGAGTGCCCAAAACCATTGGTTGTCGATGCCTGCTATCTGTCATGTTTGTTTTTTGTTCAAAGTTGTATCTTAAATCAGGCCGAAGGTCTTCATTTTTAATCGTTTACCTTGGTTTTTATAGCTAGTATTCGTTATGGTTTTTGCTCGTTGTTGAAGGTCACACTTTGACTTGCAATTGTTCACATCTTGTTCCATTCTAGTAAGTTTTTATCAGTCATGTATGAAAAGCAAGTCTATGTCGTTTTTTTTATCCAGTCGAAATGTATTGGAGACAGTGTATATATTAAGGAAGAAATTAGAGGCACCAGTAGCAAGATCATCTAACCTTGTATATTTAACTGAAATAAACCAGTCAAACGTTTATTGTCGTTATAATATACATGTCGCTTAACCTTAAGCACCTTTTAAAACTGTTTTAGTTAGCATATTATGTAGAGAATCATCAATTTTATTTTAAGGGCATTTAATATCTTAAATAAAACTTTTCTAATTAGATATATTTTCATCTGATATTGGACGGAAGATGTTGCCCTTTTATGTAATATAAATTACAATTATTTGAAAACGCTTATTAAACAGACAAATGGATGCACAAAAGTAAAAATAGGAGTCACAAATCCGATTAAATACAATTATCTGCCCAATTTTATTGATTCT